GTCTTCAGGGTCAACTTAACCATTTCTTTATTGAAAGCTGACAAAAAGCTTTATAACTTAAAAAAAACTACAAGTGTGGCGTGTATTGTCAGCTTACAGAAAGTACCGTATAAATGGTAAATGGCCTGTATTTGTATAGCACTTTTACTAGCCCCCCCTAGAGACCCCAAAGCGCTTTACACACCCAGTCATCCACCCATTCACATATCGTTAGCTTCATAGCATAAGTGCCTAAGTCATTTTTTTGTGTTTTTTTTGTGACGGACAGGATGATGCAGCAGTGGTAGGGGAGTAAAGTTAGGCAAAAATCTCAATTTGACCAAAAAATGACATAGGCACTTATGCTATGAAGCTAACGATATACTTTCATGCACTGGTGGAGGCAAGCTACAGTTGTAGCCACAGCTGCCCTGGGGCAGACTGACAGAAGCGAGGCTGCCATATCGCGCCCTGGCCAACACCAGTAGGCGGTAGGTGAAGTGTCTTGCCCAAGGACACAACGACCGAGACTGTCCGAGCCGGGGCTCGAACCGGCAACCTTGCGATTACAAGGCGAACTCCCAACTCTTGAGCCACGATCTGACCCGAAGGGCAATGGATTGATCAGAAGTGCAAAGTGATAATAATGCTCTATAGAGTTATTTAAAACTATGTTTCCTATTGCCATTGTTTCCACTGACAACATATAAGAAATGATATATGGAAACTCTATCACGTTACTTTGGACCTCTGACCTCCTCTTCAAGGTCAAATCTTTAAAATTATGCTTAAATTCTACTGCCTTTGTTTGTATTGGCAACATTTAGAAAGTGATCCTGGTGTATGGACATTCTAAATATTATATTATGGTTTGTATCCAAATATTACGTCACATGTGACCTCTGACCTTCCCTCTTTCAAGTTGTCCCCAATACCCGTTATATCTTATAAAGAGAATGTGCTGGCAAGTTAGTGATAAATAAACTGCAGCATAATATTATAATAAGCTCAGGTTATTTACAAATCAGTACTTTATTACCCATTACCTACTCGTGCATAATGTCCGTGTAATCACAGTAAACATGTGTTGAATATACGCAAAATACAATAAAGGGTCAGCAGTTTGGCGGCGATCCATGCTTTCCACCACAACAACTCGTGCTTGTTTGTTTGCACCAGTGTGTGACTTCCTCTTATGACCCGCTCTCTCATTGGAAAGCTTTTATGCACTAACAGTGACACCTGTGTCACACCTCCTCCACTCTGTGTACACCCAAGGAAACTGAGAGCAAAGACAGGAGAAAGAACAGTAAAAAACAGCAAAGACTCTCACACTAAGCTCAAATAAAACAAGTGTATATAAACTGAGTGAGTAACATGAACAAAAGCACATCATCCCTCCGCCTGCTTAAAACTCCAGTTATGCTTTCCAAAGCACTTCTATGTAAACCTCCCTTCTTTTATACTTCCTGTGGTGAGACATCACAGACACAGCCATCGGAAACTTTACCGCTGGATCGCGAAGACATCCCTGCCCGGAGCGATGTACTGCTCTGTCAGCCAAGACTCTGATTAAGTCTCAGCAGTGGAGTAATGAGCGCAGTGCTGCACTGTGAGACTCTGAGATCACACTGACGCATGCAGACGAGGAGCGGGGGGCATATGTGAGACAGCAGACCTGCGCAACGAGCACGCGCACAGGGATTTGTACTGAGCCTTGCTCTCAGTAGAATTGGTTGCCCTGATTACTCAAACTAAAGCCAAACACTTCCCGCCCTGTCAGCAGCGCTACTGCAGGCCACGGCATGAATAAGACATGAAGAGCTAAATACTAAGAACGGCTGTGCTGTGTGGCAAATCCTGTTGTCTGTTAAAATAAGACACAGAATGCAGATGAAAAAAACAAACAGCTGCGTATGCAGACTCCTGCAAACGAGTCTCGCCACAGGAAAAGTGCATGTTTGCATTTGACATCATTTCCAGTCATCTGGTGAAGCGGCACATGTGATGAGCTCCACTTGTTTCACACGGTTTGGCTAAAACACTAAACGCTCTCACGTAAACAAAGGCTAAATCCTAAATAATGTATTTGACAGTTTGACCTTTAAAAGTAAAACAGAAGAATTCAATACTGACTCCTTCGTATTGCCATTTTATCACCATCTTGATCCCCCAAAGTAGTTTTGAAGATGTTTAGGACTGAACCCACTGATAAAGAACACCGTATGCACAGAGAGGCGAGTGTGGATGAAGTAAAGGGCTCTGTCCTCTGACTCCGTGCGACATCAGACATTATAAGCTGCCATCATCTACTAAGCTGAGCAGTTACTCTCTTTTCTCTCGAGTAGCACACAGCACACAGTCTGCTCGCAATGCGTTTGGACTAGTGGAAATGCAGACTGCATGGAGCCTTGAGGAGGCAGGTCACAAGGCTCCATTGCCTCAGATGAAAGCATTTCTCGCTTATTAGTATTAGTGGTTTTTCTGTTTCGGTAAATGACAGAATCAATTTTAAATCAGTGCCTTACCAATGTTACTGTCTTTTTTAAAAACATTCTTACATGACTTCCAACAAATTTGTTTCTGAAAAAACTAAAAATATGGAAAATTTATCGTTGTGTGTGGCCGCACAGACAAGGTCCATTATGTTTTAGTTTTCCAATGATGACATTCCTCATTGCAAACTCTTATAATCTCACCGTCTATAATTTAAAAAAACCCTGAAAAGCAGACAGTTAATGGATTCTGAATGTAAGCAGTCAATGCAAATTTCTGTTTAGTGTGAATTTCTGCCAGTAGATGATGTGAGATTTTCATCAGTTTATTTCAGGTAATTTGCATCTCATCACAAACAATGTGACAAACTCACTGCAGACTGATTGCGGACTAAGTTTTACTTCATCTTGAGACACCAAAGCTGTTTTAAAGGTGGCAAATTTCCTCAAGTTGTCCCAGACCTGGTCTTTGTCAAGTTCATTGTACGCTATTGCAGTAATTGCAGTAGTACCACAGTCTCCAACTACTTTTTCCTAGTGTGACTGTAGCACAAGGGGTCACCAGTTTTTTCATCAAGATGCACAGATGCTACATTTAAACCTTCAAATTTTAAAAGGGCTTAAACTGCGATGAAAAGAAATCATAGTCAATTAAAATTCAATCTGATTTGACCTTTGTTAACAAGTCTACAGCTTATTTGGTTTGTAAAAAGCACATCAACATTATTCACTTACTAACACGTTAGACCTGTGTCTCTCTATACTGTGCAACTGACATAATTTCATGTCCGACCAAGCCACGAAAAAGCATAACAATGAGTCACCATCACTGCCTATGGGAAAATAACCATCTGCTCTTACTTGCACTTTGCAACTCTGGAATGTGATATTTGCATCATGTTTACTATGGCTGGGGCAAAACACAAAACAGGAGTAGAAGTATTTCCTTCTTTAAAAGCTTTGTTGAATAATTTGCTTTTAAGATGCTAACAAGCAACCGCAGAACAGAAGCGAAGCTGTTTCGTAGCAATCAGAAGAAATCAGGAGAGGCCGCTGCTCCCTCTGACAACATGATTACAGCAGTGTTTATGCACGTTATGAAGCAGCTGTGAGTAAATGACTTAACAAGTTATTCATACTGCATTATGTTGCCATGCAGTGAATAAAAACTAAAAGCAAGTACAGGGATTAAACTGAGAAGTGATGTATGCTGTTTAGTAGAGGGATGTATCACTACTACTAATACAACCGAAACTCTGTAAATACATCCAAACAAACTCGTTTCCACCATTTATAACACAGCACGTTCAGAAGAACGCTGATAAAAGTAATGAACCTGAGTTTAAATGTGCCCCACTGCACGATTTAAAAGGTTTTTGTAATTATTATGCAATTATTAAAGCAATAATGACTTTATTACATCGCAGATGATGTAATAATATTTTTGTCTATCAGCCATTCCAAAAACAATATTTCTGTGCAATGAAGTACTTAACTACAACTATTTCTACTCAATGAATTATGTTCTGGATCACACAAAACAAGAAAACAAACCGGCTGTTACTCAGTGTCTTCCACTGTGACTAAGAAGTCGTGTACTGCTCAAGTGCTACCTGGAATTTCATGTCTCGACATGACAGCTTGCAGCCAACCGGCCCAGTTTACACAGAGCTATCTGATCTACCGACCTTTTATCTGAATCCAAGCAACATAGTCAAATGTCTGCCTGGTACGTGAAATTAAACATGAGTCAGTAGACTTTCTGTTAGACACAAACAAACCAAAGGCCAGATGGTTCAGTGTATAGTACCAGATGTTTAGCAAACATTTAAGCTGGTGTAACCTATGATGTTGCCTACCTTATACTTATCTTGTATCAAATAATCCATCACATAATCCATATTTTGAGCTCGCAATCATGGAACTCCCAGTCAGCATGATTTCTGAGGCAACACTTTTGAATTTTAACAGTCAAAAGCTTAGCTTCCAGCTTAGCTGCTGCATGGGCTTGGCCTAGACCATTTCAGAGGGGGCCACTGAAAGCGTCTACCAACCCAGTGCTGGTGGATTTCATGAACTGAGCCAGCGCCTGCCGTTTGCCTTTAATGAAGTGGATTTATCAGAGCTTCGCCATCGAGAGAGGAAGCCTGCTGCGTCCATACCCTGTTGCAGATATTTTCAGAAACAGGCTTCCGGAAAGTGACGGCCCAGATCTCGACATAAATGGACTGGCCCTCCTGGCTTTTGCCCTGAAATACCAGATGGCCTGTCCCAGCCCAGGCTGATAAACACAATTATCATTCCAGCTCATTCTGAGTGCGAGTGATAAGTCTCCTGTGCTCCAAATTCTACATATAAATCACAGCAGCAGAGCCCTCTGTCAAACTTATAGCAACACTGTTGAGAGGTCATCTATGGTAAATGTGCTGAACGTGTGGAAACTAAGCTGTGAATCAAAAGTGTGAGAGGTTTGTGAAGAAGCACGGTAGTGACTGTGCAGTGCCTTGTGTTTGCAGCAGGTCGTACCTGGACTTGCTCCCCCCGTACAGCTGTGTCGCCTAGCAGCGGCTCTGCAGGTGGCGTGTTAATCGTTACAGACTTCTCCGAGCGGCTGTCTTTGCTGCGCGGCTTGTGCCGGTCCCGGCTTCGCTCTCTGAAAGAGAAAGTAAAAAGCAAAAATCACGATCAGTGAGCGCATTGTATGGTCTTTGCATTCCAAAATGAATTGCCTTGAGGCGGCTGTTGTTGTGATTTGGTGCTATAGAAATTAAACAGAATTGATTTACACAACAAGGAATTTGAAGACATTCTGGTTTTCTAGAATTCAAGTGTGTGCAGAGTGAGCATAAAGCCTAAATATCTGAATCACTGTCCATGAGGTCTTCCAACCATGTCAGCTGCAATGTAAGCGCTACAGTAATCTGGTATAGAGCGAGAGCGGCAGGTCTCTCCATCCTCCACCCAGCATCACCAACACCACCACATGGCGCCGAGCCCACTCTGCAGCCCCTTTAATCCCTTATCCGTCTCCTTTCTCCTAGGCAAACACACGTTATGCTCTAATTTTAGTAACACTTCCAGATTAAAATACAGTAAATACAGTACAAATAAACTGCTTTGTTCAGCTTTTATGTGAACAGTCATATGCTTGAGAACCTTTGCTGGACAATGAATGAGACTGACAAGACCAGAGCCGAGGCAAGGCTGTCGGATCTAACCTAGGTATGAAGATTCAGCAAGATTACTGACTGAATATGCAGGCAAATAAAGAAGAAATTACATGATTTTTCTTGTCTTCCCCTTCTTTTAAAGACAGAAGGACTGTTCTTGATGCTGTATTCTTTGTCATGCTAAATGTTAATGAGTTTCCTGCAGTCTCTAAGCTTGTTGTTTCCTCGTAATCACTTCTTATGCAGGAGCAGCACTGGAACAGAAGTGTAACAAATCTAATTTCCACAATGGAGAAGGCTTTTGTGTCCTGCTTTCTATTAAGACACACAAGAACACAAGCAGTCCTTTTGACACCCACATGAACTGATCCTTCTGACCTCTGTTTATTTACATCAAATGCGGAGAAACATTAGCATTAATTTAGCAAGTGTATATACTATAAAACCAAAACAATGACCTAAAAGATCCTCAATTGGCCTGCAGAATCAACAGGAACTGCACACTTCGGATTCTACATATTTATTTGTTCTGATATTAATATGAAATATTGATGCGATCAGCTTCAATCTTTGCTGTTACACATTAACCATCACCATCAACCTTACAGTGACCTATGCAAGAAAAACTCAAGTGACCCTTGAACACTACTGTCACACAATAACCATTCATATTCATAAAGTACAGGATATCCTGCCTTTGGTAATGGAGGAAGCCGTATGACTGACAGCAGTGGAGCTGTTATGGTCCAGCAAGAGCTGCATTAGATCCAAGTGTTTTCATTAAAGGGTGTAGCCCAGTCTGCCTTCCGCCTCTATTCTTGCCCTTCCTTTTTAAATATGGACTCGCTTTCCTGCAGAAAATCACGAGAGCGACGAACATTTCAAATCTGCACCGAGTGAGAGAAAGCTCATTTTCAATAGCCTGCAGCAATCCAGTTCACAAAGTGACTGACATGTTCTTATCTAATAAATCCAGGAGATTAGGAGGTGAATGTAGGCCTTTAAATATATTACCACAATCATTATTACTTTAAATATTATTACAACTAGTGTCATTGCTGTGGTGATGGTTATTCCAGAGGGAGCGCTCATCAGTCAAACGTCAGCGCTGATTATGCTTATTAATTGGAGAGAAAAGCTGTAGAGGAGGAAGCAGGGAGGAGCAGCCGGGCTCACAAAGCAGAGATCCTATTTCAAGATCACAGTCAGAATAATAAGGAGGTCTGGGAGACAAGTAAGGAGAAGGTAGCAGCTACAAAAGAAGAGTGGAAAGGAGCAGAAAGTCACATTAAAAGCAAAATAAAACAAAAAAACTATGCTAACTAGTCACGTAAACGGGCTTACCACCTAGAGAAGTAATCAAACATTTCTTCTACTGAAAAAGAAAAGAATCATTTACACAATTATAATAATCACTTTATTTTACTTATTCAGAAAACCTTCACATCCACTCCTAAAACAGACCCCCCCAAATATGTCCCCAGTCACACATGTCTGCCAGTCACCAACCATCTGGCAACTTCTGTTAATGGGGAAAATTCCCCAACCATTTAGTCTTATTGAAAACACATTTTTAATTCAGATTTGATAAACACATTTTCAAAAAAAGAAATAAATAAACAGAACAAAAAAAATCAAATTAACAATATATTTTCTTGATATTTAAAATCAAGATTCCACTCCTCCTTATCAGCTCCATGTCCTTTTCCTATGTCTCCATGTCTCCAATTAGCCTTTCTGTGACTCTTCTTGGCCTTGGAGAAAAAGTAATGCAAATTAATAATGCAATGTGATGTAAGGAGCTCTCTGTTTGGTTAGAGAGATGATGATGAAGATGGCTGACCGGGTTTTTCTAGGTTGCTGCTTGTGTCAATAGCTCTGCCTTGACATTAACTGAAGAGAGCCCCGATCTTGAAGTGTGCACTTTGTGGAATCACCTGACCATCTGCTGAAGGTAACACGCAGATGTGGCTAAGACTAGCATCGCTGCATGTAGCCATACTCTTTAAGACTCATGTTAGCTTGGGAAAAGATTACATCCCATCAGTACTAGTGGGCTGCCATTTTTAGTAAGCTAATCTGCTCCTTTTAAATGAAGCCTGAATCAGCTAGCACAGTTAAAACAATAGCTATAACCTACAGCCTTTAATAATAATTAATTATGGAAACACTGTCTGTAAACAGTCTCAGGAGTCCACCTGTTACCACATAACCTTCTGATACCTACGATTTAAAATAATTGAAAAAGAGTGATTACAATGATACCGATCAGTCCATCATTCCCTGTATTATTGTTGTCTGAAGCTAGACTATATGTGAGACTACATGCGCAGTTTTATTTTTTACATGACAGCCATCTTTATGAATGCAGTTTGTAAAATCCCACAACACATTTATACACACATATATTCATGTATTTATAATTTCTCTTATTATATATTAAATTGTCAAATAATTAATTGTTTTTTTAATATCTAATAAGTAAAATACATGAAACATTCATTTGTAACTGATTTGACTAATAAATAAATAAATTTATGACATAAGCAATTATTAATTCATGAATGCTTTATTTCAAATGTGTGTTACTCTATGGTAAATCAGACTGACTTGGAATTCTCAGTTTTCAGTTTACATCTGTCTCTTTACAGTTTCCTTTGAGCTTCACTGCAGTTTGGAGAATAAATGGTGATAGTTTGCAAATAAGTTGGTGTCTTCCATGCAAATTACAGGAAACTGTGGTTTCTAAAGCAAGGAGCTTTTTGGTGCAACTGATTTTCACCTAATGAGAGCCAGCAACCTCCAGAAACCACTCGCCAGCCGGTTGGGATTACATATGTTTTCTAGCAACCAGAAAAATTGAACTTTCGAGTTGTGAAAAACTGAAACTAAATTTGTCGCCAAATGCAGTGATCTGATTGGTCAGATCTGTTTATTCAGATTCTAGAAATGGGGGGGGGGGGAATCATCTTCAATTTAAAAAAAAAGCCCAAAAAAAACCCTGGCCCTCAACTGCTTGGAAAAGACAGACGATGCATAAATAATAAGATAAAAGATAATGTCAGTTAAACCCCAGAAACTGAACAAAAAGCAATTAAAAATGCAATAAAATATGCAATTTGCAACGTAACGCAGAGGCGAGCAAGCCTGCGGACAGCCCAGCAAGTGGTTTAGCAGACTGGCCTACCAATCTGTGTACCAGCCTCTCCCCTCTTCCAGCACATTTTCTCATTCCCCCTTCAGCAACATCCTGGGATTAATGCACTGTATGGATACCTCCTCCCCCTTTGTCTCTCTTACCACATCCTCTTCCTGCCTCATTAGCATGCAGCTGGCTCACTGATATTCCAAAATTGTGCTGCTATGATTTGATTAATGGGATTTGACTTGCAGAGTGTATCCCTGAAATGGGTGTGGCTTTTTGGAAAACTGACAATGGATGAGGCAGAGTCCTGCCAGTTTGTCTCTGGAAGCAGTATTTCCCTCCAACACCTGAGGACGAGTGTGTTCTCCACCTCACACAGAGGCCAGTGAAAAAGTACAGCCAACTAGGGTGGCATGCCAAACTGTCTGTGGACCAATTTGTCCTCTCTTTGGCTGGCAGAGTAACCCACACACCTGTGCGGCACAGAGCTTTGTGTCAACACAGCAATCTGAGCCAAAGCACTAGTGTTCAGATCACCCACCACCAACAGCGACAATGGTGACACAAGTCCAAACCAGCACATCACACACTGAGCTAGCAGTGGTGTGAGCAAACAATCACCACTCTGTCTTACGTGAACTTGGATTTTCATTCAAACTGACACACAAGTCCCAGAAACTTCATTTCCAAAGAACTAATGATGACCAAAATCCCCATGGGAAACAAGGTTTTCCAGCTAATTGTGACCGCAACTGGTCATGGTTTGTAGCTGCCCCTACCTCCTTCCTGAAATCTTTCAGGAAGTTTTTCCATTCCACAATCACCGAGCGCTTGTTTATAGGAATCATCTGATTGTAAGAGTTCTCTCTCTCTCTAATACTGTACAGTCTTTATCTTACATGAATCACCTTGAGGCAGTTGTTGTGAACTGATACCATATAAATACTTGATCTGATGTTTTCACAGCAGCTTAAAAGGTCAAGAAAGCCTCGGAAAAACGTTTACGGGCATATCCATAGTCTCAAATTCCCTTTGAACATGTCTTAGTTGGGAAATAAAGCCCAGACTTTGAGGTCAGTTTATTGGGGGTCAAACAACCCAAACAAAACAGTGAGAAAGGATGAACATTGATGCCTTTCTCAATCCTGATTGCAGGTCTGATTCTTTAGCAATCCCTTGTTAATTCCTTATGAGAGGGGGGGAAATATAAGGTATTCAGCATCTGAATCTACACCTATTTATTATCTGTGAGTTTTAACACAGTGTAAAAACAGAGCAAAAGTCTGTCTGCTGAAATCTCTCTTTTTTTTTAGTTCTCAGCTATAAAAAAAGACAGTACATGGTGCTCAGATCAACATATTGTTGCCTAGACACGCCTGAATTCATTAAGCTTCTTGGTAGCTATATTACTTAACCATAAGCTTACCATTAGATGATTCTGAAGATTGTTGGCCTCCTGTTTAATCGACAAGGTAATGAGTCACAAGAAGCCTCTGCTGTGCTGTCTAAACCTGAGCTGAATGGGCACTAAGTGAGATAAGTCTTTGTGTTTCTCTGATCCAATCTTAACCTTCCAGTTGAAACAAAAAGTAAACCGCTCTGCTTTAAGAATAATATCATGCAGGAACCTTTGAATGGTATTAAAACTATGACTTAATATTAGTTGAAGTGACTCTGTCCTGTGTGAATACTGTGTGCTGCTCTGTAATTGGAGTTACAGCAAAAGAACCAATCAAAAGAACTAATTTTACACATGAACAGCTGCTAATATGTGATTTGCAAGTCTATAGTCATTTAAATGCTTAAAATTGAATAAGTGAAGGAGCCTAGCTCTGGAGAAGTTCTGAGAGCAAAACTGAAGAAAGTTAAATTAGCTCTGCATCAAAACTCCACGCTCTGAAAGTATGAGAGCAGAAGCTCTTTAGGGCAGCTGCAATTATTATATTTGCAGGTAAAAACACAAATTGTTAGGATTTACTTAGAAGCAGCCTATTTTGAGTAGCAATTATTATGGATTGCACCTGTTGGAAAAATGGTGATTCAAGTACTGCAATCTACAAACACGTTCAATTCATCTCAGTTTAGTTTTATTTCTATAGCCCCAAATCACAAGTTACATTGCAAGGTAAAGTCCCAACAATAATACAGAGCAAACCCCAACAAACAAGCACTTTGGCAACAGTGGGAAGGAAAAACTCCCTTTTAACAGGACGAAATCGCGGGCAGAACCAGGCTCAGGGAGGGGCGGGGCCATCTGCTGCAACCGGTTGGGGAGAGAGAAGCAAAGCAAAGCTTTGGATAGCTAAACCTGTGCATGTGCATAATTTGGTTGTTTCACTGCTAATGTCATGCTCTAAATACAGAAATACACTAATTAACTAAAAGCAAGTAAGAAATTGGTGTCTTCAGCATGTTTTTGTGCCAAAAACATGGCAACAGCAGATCTGCAGACAGATCTGCTGCTGCAATTATTGGAGGGACAGGGGAATGTATTGCTGACAACACCAATAGAAGATGTCTTGCAACAGGAAGGGGTAAAAAGCCAGCAATGAGGGCGATCATGGCTCAAGAGTTGGGAGTTCGCCTTGTAATCGGAAGGTTGCCGGTTCGAGCCCCGGCTCAGACAGTCTCGGTCGTTGTGTCCTTTGACAAGACACTTCACCTGCCACCTACTGGTGTTGGCCAGAAGGGCCGATGGCGCGATATGGCAGCCTTGCTTCTGTCAGTCTGCCCCAGGGCAGCTGTGGCTACAACTGTAGCTTGCTTCCACCAGTGTATGAATGGGTGGATGACTGGGTGTGTAAAGCGCTTTGGGGTCCCTAGGCGGGACTAGCTATACAAATACAGGCCATTTACCATTTACCAATGAGGGGGGAAAAAACTCCAAATATCCTGCAACTTCTGTTACTCAGACTCTAAGCAAATCCCATTCTTCTATCATGTCCTAGCAAATTACACACATGTACCCATATATAAGGATATTGTTCTTATCTGTTATTTCTATGGTTGTATGCACACAAGTAGTGAGCCCACTCCCACATGCTTGCATCTGTTCCTGGCATCAGGGTAATTAGACGACAGCGATCCGAAGCAGCTTCACGCATGGCACCCCTTGGTGTAAAAAGATTACCTTCCCGCGAGAACAGCAAGGGGTTTCAAAGGCAACAATTTAGTTTTTTCTACATTAAATTAGAGGCCAGCCGGTGGCTTTGGCACAGTCACGGTAGGACCGGAGGAGCAGGGAGTGGAATGGCGCCTGGCAGGGATGCCCATATGTCTCTTTCCAATTTGCTGTCACTCACTTGAAAGAGTGCAGCAAAAGAAATAGGAGAACACAGGTCTCCACCACTTTCCTAAGCACTGACCTTTCCCCACTGTCTTTGATTCCATGCTAAGTGAGAGCACTTTTGCTCAGTTTAACTTTGAGCTACAAGGACACATTGGTGCCCTGGGGAATGCAGACGACCAGGGAGCGAGTGATATCCCTGCGCTTTCTCATCCTCAAAGAGCAGCGTTGACTACATTTAAAAAATGGGAGGAGAAAAGGGAAGAAGGGTGATCACAGAGAGCGGGGGCAGCTGCTGCCTTCATATCACGATTGGCCACATGGGAGCAAAATGTTTAATGATGAGGAGAATGAAAGGAAAGAGATAAGGAGGGCAGGGCTGAGGGGGGTGCAGTGTGAAGAGGACAGAGGCAGAAAGTTGCAGACAGCATGACAAATCCCTTAAACAGCAACAGGTGGCAGCTAGAGTGGGAAAGGCAGGCACAAGTACTCCAAAAGATATATGGCAAACAAGCTGGAGGGGACTGTCATTGACCTGGGAGGGGCTGTTATGGAACAGGATCCTGTTCTCCAGTTCTCTACTCTCATCTCCTCTCTGAGTCTCAATGTATCCGCTGAGCCAGTCAGTCAGGCCTCTTCAGCACCTGTCTCCTGCTGCTTTCCTGAGGCCTGTCAACCACAGTCATTTGGCTGCTGACAGACTAATGCGCCTCCAGGAGCTGTGGGCTCCACACATGTTTGGCCAGAGGGACAGACACAGATACACAAAAGGTGACACTACGGAGGTGGACAAAGACACAGAACAGGACAGGAAAACAAATGCTCAGAGTCAGAAAGAAAATCACAAAAGGAAAGTACAACAGATCCGCTGATTTACTGAGCCCCCAGAGGCTCCAACAGGGACAAAGTAGTAATACCGTCCTCTCCAAGACATCTGTAAAAATCCTTGCTTCTTCTATCCATCTCCTAAAAACTGATTTTGCTGTTAACATCTACTACATCTATATCTACTAACCAACCAGTAGTAATCGTATCACATCCACTATCACTTCAACTTCACATAATAGGCACCAGCTCAGGCATGTTTTACTGAGGGAAATCCTGCAGCCCACACCAACACTTCACGTAAAAGCAGAGTCAGGAAAAACCGTAATAACCAACTGGCAGGACTTACCCATGTCTGTGGGATCCCCGGGAGCGCCCCGAGTAGTAGGAATATCCCGAGTAGGTGGACTCTGTATCCATGGTGATGCAGTCCTGCTGAGATAGCTGGGCTCAGGGCAACACAGAGCCTGCTCTACTCAACCGCCAGCAGAACGAAGCAGAACCTGGTGTGCTGTCTTGTCGAGCTAGAGGTGATCGATTAGATCGCTCAGGAGGATGACAGAGGTGTCAGCTGTCAGCAGTCAGGCTTGAAAGCGACCCTGGGGGCGCCCGGTAAGGAAACATTAACCTGCAGAGTGGAAGGAGGGGACAGGGGGAGACAGGAAAATTTAAATTCAAAATGTTAAGTCTCTGGAAAACCTGTCCACATCTGTTGGCGATAGAGACGAAAACCCAAATCAAGCATTCAAGTCACAAGCTTTTTCGCCACATCTATTTTCCTCTAGTGCATAAATGCTCAGCGTGCCGACGTTTATCTGCAGCTGCATGACAATCACTGCCTCCTAGCTCCAAACCTGCACAGTGACAACACTTCCCATAAAAGGCAGTTCCCAAGAGGTTACACTTCAACTGAGCATTCCAGATAAAAGAAACGCCGCTATCCCGAAACAGCAATTTGCTCCTATTCCCATTAGACTGGCGACTGTTGTTCTGAAGCAGCCTTAAGTCTGTGACACACAGTAAACAATTTATGCCCGGCACTGACAAGCTCCGTGATGAATACAGAAAGAGTGCCATAGAGATAAGGCTTATTTTCGAAGGAGACGTCAAAATGAGAATGAGGTGTTGCCAGTTTGGAAGTGAGTCTCAAAGAGCTGTGATAGCACAGGAAATTCACACAAACAGCAGTTTCACCTACATGTCTGTAGATATCTGTAAAATCCTGGCTTGAGAAAAATTGTCAAAAATACTGGTGGCCTCCAGTGCTACCCCTTAGCCTTTTAAGTTAACTCCTACAGGACTTGTTAATGAGTTACCTCATTTACAAGAAAACCTGACCACCTTGAGGTCGAGGTCACTGAGAACTCTGAGATTTGGAGTCTCATATATGGATCCTGGATTCATATGCAAGACCCCCTTTGTCCTGGTATTTCCTCTGCTTCAATAGCTGGATGCTACAAACACAAATTCGGCTCCTGTTACAATTGTGTCAACCCAGGATTAGACTATTAGGAAGTGAACTCAGGCCCTTGCAGCCTTATAGTATATGCCTCACCAGCTCAACCAAGTGCCCTCAGTGTGGATTTAATAATAAATATAAAGTACAATTATAATTTATCCTGCTTGAACTAGATTGCACAGGCATACCTAATGAAGAAGTCAACAAGTGTGGCTTTAACTAGTAGGAATGCATGGGAAAGGTTGTAGGGTGGTAATGGGTTGTGTTGTGGTAATGGGGATTATCCTGATATAATATAAAAAAAAGAAAATGGTCAAACAATAGCAATGGAATTTTTTTTTTTGAAACTGTGAAACTGAAACTGAAAAGTGTCTCATCTGGAAAAGGGTCCAGTAGAGATTAACAGATGGGCTGGTTCTGCTTCTGCAGTGATGCAGGATGCAGACACTGTATTGGTCTGTAATGGTAATCGTGAATGTGAAAGCAAAGCAGTCGAAGTACATCCATCATGAGCTTTGTTTAGTGACCAAAAGAATGAGACCATGGATACATGCAGCAGACATGAGTTTCCTCCAACGGGTGCCTGGGCTATCTCTAAGGCGATCCCTTAGAGAAAGGATGAGAAGTTCTGCTAGCCACAAGGGTCTCAGAGTAAAGCTGCTACTCCCCTACATTAAAAGGAGCCAGCTGAGAAAGTTTGGATATATGACTAGCAAGCCTCCTGGATGCCTTCTTTGTGAAGTATTCCAATCATGTCTTACAGGGAAAAGGCCCCAAGTCAGATCCAGGACCTGCTGGAGAGGTGATATTGCTTGGCCCAAGTGTCCCGAGCTGGATGAGGTGGTCAGGGAGAGGGCAGTAAGGTCTCTGCTGACACTGTAACCTGGATTAGTGGTAGAAGATGGATGGATGGATGGATGGATGGATGGATGGATGGATGGATGGATGGCTGGATGGATATACAAACATTGTTCAGGTATATTGATGCCTTTATCCAAAGCCCTCAACAAAACAGTGATTGCATCAATTATAATTCTCAGAATTTCACTGGGTAATCTTCCTCAAGAAGATCACACAGCTCTAAAAATGCTCCAGCACTTTAAAAAAGCAAAATGACAACAAAAAACAATAGATTAAAATCATATACCGGAGCAGGTAGAAGGTTTGAAGGATTCATTACGGGGAATATAAGACGCCTTTTATTGGAATGGTTAGAGTTTGTATTCACAGGTGTGGAGAGTGAGATACATTTGGCTCAGAGTCAGATTAAAAGCACAGTTCTTTTTTTTTTTTTGCCTGTCCCGTTTGGATCTTTAGCCATCAGAATTGTTGTCTGAAGGCCAAGAAAGATGCCAAGTGCATTTACTTTACCAAGTGGATCATCATGGCCTTGCCTTATTGGTCCATTTGATTGACCTTTATTATAATTATGTATTTATTTTATTTTCGTTTTTTAAAGATGGGACAGACATGACTGGGGGATAGGACAGGGAGAAAGAATGAAAGAAAGAGAGGGAGAGAAAGAAAAATAGAGGGGAGAAGAGATGGTGAAAAAGGGGGGAAGAAAAAAGAAAGAAAAACAAAACACCTGGATCACCTGTACGGAGATAAAAAACCAGAAGGGAAAACAAACAACAAAGAGCAACATAATAAAAACAACACCATCACAATAAACTAGCTAACAATAGATAACAGTAAATACTTTTGTAATTTCACCTGTTGAGAATGAAAAAAGAAAACAAGCAGAAGAAAACGAGAGCAATAGAATAAACAACATCACGATGATATATGGGAATATAACTGTAAATACTAAATATTAAACATTATTGTGCAGCACATAAAATCGACAGCGCACAGTGTGCTTTGAGGTAGGAGCCAAAAAGGGTGTAGTTTGTGTGTGTGAGCACCCGTGTGTACACCTGTGAGCATGAACGCGCTTGTTTTTAAAAGGTTCCTTCATGTAATGATCTGCTAGAGGGTTTGGGGAGCTACAGCCCCGTCCACCAGGGCATGAAGCAAGTATGGAGGAGATCAAAACTCCAGACATCCAGAGGCCCTCAGAACACAAGAGACCAAGGAAGACCAACAGAGGGGCAGCCGCGCCACTATCCCGGAAAGAGCTGAGGAGAGCCCCAGATGAGGGGTCACTCAGCAGCCGCGGAGCAGAAGCTAGAGGGGCTTGCAGTGACGTGCCCGTGAGCTCTGTCGGCAGCCAGCTGTGCCAGAGTGACCGAGCCCCAGGCCGAGAGGCCAAGGACACCCCACCCCCGAAGTGGCCCGAGCAAGCCCCAGGCTCCAGGCCCCGATAAGCAGCCACCAAGGAGTGAGCCGGTGTGTACCTGGACGCCCATCCCCGGACACAAAGTACCACCAACGCACCGATGTCTGAGGGCGTCTGCCACTGGTAGGGGAAGTGGTGGGGGAGATAGGCCTCCATACCTTGGAGGACCTGGGATGTCCCCAGAGAGGTGGCATCTGATACCCGACCTGACATATGGACACAGACAAACAGGCACACACAGATACAAACATCCATTCCCACCCTCATCTCTCATATGCAATTACTCAACACTCACCCAACATGGAGACAGACATAGAGAGACGCTGTACACACAATCACACTCCCCAAGCGTACTCCAAGCCCCGGGTCTAGGTACCCTTGCCCCTGGAGGGGTAAACTGCACCCAGACCCAGGTGGTGCTACCCTTTTCCCTGGGGTGGGGAGAATCAGACCGCTCCGATTCCGCAGCAGCAGGGAGGCCCCACACTCCAGACCCCCGCTCCAACAGGCCGCAGAGAACGGGGGTGTGTGAAGACTCCAAACCTCCCTCCGCCCACTCATATATAGTGTTGATGCATGTGTGTTCTAAGGTGCCTTTAAAACCCAGGAGGGTTTGAGAGGTGGGCAACGACGCCAGGGGTGAGGTTGTATACCCTGATGGTCTTTTGGATTGCGTGTAGCGTGCCCACCCCCAAGATCCTATATGTATGTGTTATGAGAGTGTGAGTAATGTGAATGTCTAAGTTGTGAGATAAAATTGAGGCACAAGAAGCCAGAAGGGGACAGAAGGGGGGGATGCCTCCCCTGCACTCTGGTGATACATCTTTACCCCAAGGCCCTGCATGTGTGGGTGATTATGGTGGAGCAGGAAGAGGGAGGCAGCTGGAGATGGGGAGGGAAGGAAGGGAGGGGCA